AGGGCCCGGGGGGGGGGGGGGGGGTGCACAATGTGAGGATGGAGGTGACCCTCACAGGCCTTGGTGGAGGGGCTGCCCTGAGTGAGGGTCGGGGAGAAGACGGGGAGCTCAGACAGGGGACCGATCTGTGTGGCAGCAGGAAGCCACCCTGAGGCCTGGGAGGAGCTGGCGTGCTGCCTCCCAGATGGCAAGGACGCTGACCACGTTGTTGCTACTGGAGTTTTCTGGCAACAGAGAGCCCCTGGGGCAAGGGGGGCCCAGACCGAACCCAGGAAAGGGGCAGCCAGGCCGCCAGCCCTGGGCTCCTGGGGTCCCGTCTCCAGGCTCCGAGAGGAGGCCAGGGGAGGACAGAGGTCCTGGGGGCAGATATGGGACCCATGGGCCTGAGCCAACAGGGCGAGAACTCGGGTGAGAGTCGGAGGGGAGATGGCCAGACCCCCGGGCTGAGGCCCCCGGGCAGGGAGGCGGGCTCTGCTCCTTTCTCCCCTCCCAGCACCGGTCCCAGGCCCCACGTCCTGGAGGGGGTTAGGGCCTCCCCTTCACAGGCGTAGGGTTGTGAGAAGACGGGGAAGTCCGGCCCGGCCTTCAGGGGCCTGGGCGGGTGGGGGGCTTGTCCAGTGAAACAGGAACACAAAGGGGGGCCTGGCGGCAGGACAGGAGACCAGGCGGGTGAAGAGGGGCCTCGGCTAGTTTCAGGGGGTCCCTCTCACCTGTCTTTGCCTCCACAGAAACGGGGCTGCGTCGTTTCCCTTCCTGGATCCCAAAGAGCAGGAACCTGTACTTCCTGTTGGGCTCCAGGCCGGGGACAGTGACCGCGCGCTGGTCTGCGGCCACAGGCACCACCCGGGGCTGCCCGTCCCTGTCCTTGTACTGGACCACGAAGGAGTCGAATTCACCCACAGGAACCGTCCACGAGAGGCCCACGGAGCTCGGGGTCACATCTGTCACCGTCAGCTCCCCCAGGCGCGGCTCTTGGGGGGACTCTGTGGCTGGAGCTGGCGGGAGGGGAGCTGGGTGGGGGAGGACAGAGAACAGGGCTGAGCGCTCTGAGGGACAACTGCCCCCCAGGGCTCCGGGCTCCCAGGGCCAGGGAGGGGCCTGAGGTGGGAATCGGCCACCGCTGCACCGTGGCTGCCTCTATCTGAGCGGTGCATTTCCTTCCAGCGGACACAGGAAGCAGCCATGGTGGCGACAAAACGGGGCCGCGTGCTGACCTGAGGAGCTCATGGTGGGTGGTCATATCCTAGTCAGTCTCTCCCCTGACTAAGTCCATCTGCACCTTAACTGAGCCGTCTATTGTCCTTTTGCATCTAGGATAACACAGCCGATAAACGTCCTTCACAGTCACAAAGCAATGTCCCTGCTTCCTTCGGACCCCTCACAGCACAGCCACCGCACCAGAGCGGACGCCACACTGCCATCGTTCTGTGCTCACCGATGACTGCTAACTGGCAGCACCTCCTGTGTGAGAGCAGCATGTGTCTGTCATTTCACTCCCTATCCAATCCCAGAGGTGTCCCCCATTCGCTTTCCCCGCCCCACCTAGCACCACCAGTGGATTTCATGTCGCCCACTTACGGCTTCTCTTTTGATCATAATGTATAAAGCAGGGTGCAGAAGTGCCATTTTCCGGGGCATTTTCTCAGTTCGTTGAGATTCTGCTTCCCAGCAGAATCTGTTTGGTTCTGATAAACTCACACAAATTCTCAACAGGTTTGAACATTGCTCACATGGACAATGGTGGCCCAGCAGCACCTGTGACTGTCTTCACATCACCTTAGAGTTACTGCCCAACCACGGGCTACGCGCGTCAGCACGTCTACAGGTGCCCAAGCCTTCCTATTTAACGGGCAGGTAAAGAAGTCCCTGCATTCCGAAACCTTACATTTGAATGTAAAAACATTTTGATAACTGTATATTGACATCGTTTTCCTTTGTAATTCCATGGATCTTATTTTACAGTTTTTACTTTTATTTCTTAATCCTCACCTGAGTTGGTATTTTAATAGGGATTGCATTGAATCTGTAGATTGCCTTGGGTAGCATGGACATTTTAATGAGGTTGATTCTACCAATCCATGAACATGGTATATTTTTCCACTTGTTTATAGCTTCTTCTACCTCTTTTTTCAAATTCCTATAGTTTTCTGAGTACAAGTCTTTTACCTCCTTGATTCAGTTTATTCCTAACTATCTTATTTTTTTGATGTGAGAGAGAAACATCAATTGGCTGCCTCCTGCTTGCACCCAACGAGGGATCAAACTCACAGCCTGGGCATGTGCCCTGACTAGGAATCAAATCCTCAACCCTGCGGTGCACAGGATGCCGCCAACCAGCAGAGCCACACCGGCAAGGGCTTATTTTATGGTGTTTTTAAATATATATTCTTATTGCTTTCAGAGAGGAAGGGAGAAGGAGAGAGAGTTAGAAACATCAATGATGAGAGAGAATCATTGATCAGCTGCCTCCTGCACGCCCCACACTGGGGATTGAGCCTGCAACCTGGGTGTATGCCCTTGACCTGAATCGAACCCAGGACCCTTCAGTCCACAGGCCAACGCTCTATCCACTGAGCAACACTGGCTAGGGCTATTTTACGGTTTTTAAAACAGTGCACACACATTGCAGACACCCTGGCACACACATGGTGGAAACCAGTCCAGGAAGTCATGAGGGCAGGAAGGCCTGGGCGCCAAGCATAGGGGCCACTTCTAGAGGGGCTGGGGGGGTGTCCACTTGAATCCTGTCCACTTCCTGTGACAGGATTCAGGGGTGACTGCCACTTAACGCCAACAAAGTGGGTGGCAGGGAAGGTGGCAGCCATGTCCAAATCACAAAGGGCGTGCGAAGAGAGTGGAGGACACAGCTAGACACAGAGAGGGAGAGGGGCATCTGCCCTGGAAGTGGGGCAGGTGAGAGGGAGGTTCCTGTTCTTAGGGGAAATGATTTTAGTTTTTGTCCTTTGAGTATGATATTCGCTGTAGGTTTGTCATGTATGGTCTTTCTATACTCCCTCTATTCCCACTTTGTCAGGCCCAGGGTGGACGCGGGGCCCACGCGCCGCCCCCCGTGCAGGCCGTACAGGTGCATCTTGTACTTGCGCCCCGGCTCCAGGCCCCACACGGTGACCTCGCTCTCCTCACCCCCGACACGCACCACCTGGGGCCGCCCGTCCCTGTCCTTGTACTGGACGGTGAAGGCGTCGAAGTGGCCCCGGGGGACGGTCCAGGACAGGCTCAGCGAGTCCGGGGAGGATCCCGTCACTGTCAGCTCCCCCAGCAGGGGCTCCTCGGGGGGCTCGGGGGCCTCCGTGCTGGGTTCTGCGGGGCTGGGGGTCTCCTCCTCTGCAGCTGAGAAGCACAGACACAGGGCGGGTGAGGCAGGCTCCATGGAGATGTCTGGGTCTCCTCCCAAGCCCTGGTCATGGC